TAAGTTCTATGGTCGATACAATGACCTTGTCAGCAAATACAATTTATCATTGAGTCAAATGCTGACTGACGTTTTTCATACATTTGTTAGGCCATTATTTACACACTGAATTGTCGACAGATTTTTCCGTTATTTCCCGATCATGACAAGGAGCACACGGCGGGGGTGACCGGTCGGCAGGGGATGCTGACTCCTCCATTGCACCTGATCCCACATCTGATGTCTTGAGAGGTCTGGGTTTGCTCTGCTCCATATTTGCATTGTTTTAATGGAATTTTGAGCTTGTTTACTGTTCGTTGTCTTCATATTTCATTTTAAGAAAATTCTTTTTAACATTCATTCGTTTACTTCCCTTACTCAACGACTAAATACTTGTACTTCTTAGTTACCAAATATCCTTTCCGACGGATTTTATTTTTTCAAAATAAATTCTGCTATGTGGCCATTTTTGCAGACTTTATTTGATAAAAAAAAACTATTTCACAAAGTACTCGAAAAGTACCAGGCTCCGGGGCCATGAAGCTTAAACGAGCTCACTCTTTATCTCAGTCTCACTTTCTAAAACGAGGTAAATTATTGACAAACAAGTTGATGAAACAAGAATATCAGCTGTCTCGTTTAAAGTCATCATTTCGTAAGTTCTATGGTCGATACAATGACCTTGTCAGCAAATACAATTTATCATTGAGTCAAATGCTGACTGACGTTTTTCATACATTTGTTAGGCCATTATTTACACACTGAATTGTCGACAGATTTTTCCGTTATTTCCCGATCATGACAAGGAGCACACGGCGGGGGTGACCGGTCGGCAGGGGATGCTGACTCCTCTATGGCACCTGATCCCACCTCTGATGTTTGGAGGTCCGTGTTTGCTCTGCTCCTATTTTGTATTGTTTGATGGACTTTTGAGTCTGAATACTGTTCGTTATCTTCATATATTTCATTTTACAAAAGAAATATGTTTCAGCCTTCCTTGTATAGTAATTTTCCCGCCTTATTAGGTCTCAATTACAAAGTCTTAGCAACAAACTTAGAAGTGGGAATATGAAATAATTTCACATTGCATGCATACTTTTTTTCCTCTGATAAAATTAATATGCTGGTCAATGATTTTTCTTCTTCCAAACTCTCTTTTGTCTCCTAACAAGCCACGTAGGAAGAGAAAAGAACCGAACGCCATGCATGTATCAACGTTCCGAAGCTAGTTTTATCATAACAAGGAGTATAACATTGTAGCATATAAAACCGTTCATTTTCTGCAAAATACTTTTAAAAAGAATTTCAGGGGAAATAAATTTAGTTAGGTTTAAATATTATTTCTGTGCACTCAAATGTCATCATAGGAAATGGTCATAGAAAAGTAAATCCACTTTATCAATTTATATGTTGAAACGAAGAATTTATCCTATATATTTTACTTTTCTTTATAGTGTTAATCATAATTTTTTTTTTTTCAGAAGTATCACAATGATACTCAACTTTCCTTCTACATTGTAATTATCAATTAAATTTTGGAGTTTTATACATAATCGATACTTTATATACATGAATTACCTGACGCTTATAAAATACTTGAACCATTTTATCTCAATACTCACGCATTGTACAGTACTGTCCCTTAAAACCTGTTCCTCCGCAGTTACAAAACGGTCCAGCGGGTGTACCAGCACACCCTTTTTCCACACACGGAGGTTCTACATATATTAATAACTTTGTGTTTTATTCAAATATTATAATATCGAAGCCTTTAACAACTAAAAACTGTGAAAGTCTGCAACATCTCAGATGTTCCAATATAACAGGGGAAATCATAGTAAGTATAAAGAAATTTTCTTTGTTTTCAAATATTTCACTTTAACTTTTTCGTTATTGAAATGGATTTAAAGCCATGCATTAAAGATTCACATCATAGAGGAAATCTAAGCACAATTTTCAAAACCCTTTATAAAATTCTACCTTCTACATTAGCTTGGATAACTTTGACATATATATCAGGAGAAGGGGAGCAGTCTGACACATTGTCCCGCGCATTATCTGACCATTTCCCGCCTACCAAGGTTCCACAGCCATTAGTGAGGGATGGTCTCCAAATGTACAAGTGACTATCATCATAGGCGAAGAATGAGGACCCGTAATTTGCAGTCACACCGGAACCATCTGTCATGGCTGTTCCCGATAAGGGAAACGACAGACCGTAATTATTTACATCTCGAGAAGCTGCCTATAAATTAAGAGATACTGGTATATAGGAAGGTATGACAAGTAAAACAAAAGCCTAAAAATCATGTACCAGTTTTCAAAAGATAAATACCGTTCACGGTAGCTCAGTCGGTAGAGCGGTCGCTCCGTGTTCGGGAGGTCGTAAGTTTAAATCTCGGCCGCGACCGACCTAAGTCAATAAAAAATGGGTAGCAACTTTTCCTTCGCCATGCGCTCGGCACTTTGAAGAGAAAGTTGCGGGTCCTTCGGATGAAACCTTAAAAACCGAGGCCCCGTGTCACGGCAAGCGTTGGCACGATAAAGATCCCTCACTGCTCAATGGCCCCGAGTGCCGAGTAAAGGTCAAAATTTGAAGCCCTTCACCAGTATATGATGACGTCTCTATATGAGTGAAAAATTCTCGAATGGGACGTTAAACAACATACAATCAATCAAAAGATAAGAAAATAAATAATTTGTCTGCAATCCAGGTTATGCCAATATTTTGAAACGTCTTTTATATTTTTACGAATTTACGAATTGTTGTTAGAAGACCGTTTTCTGTCATTTATTTTACTTGTCCAACAAAAACCAGAGGTAACAGTTCCTGAAGCTGAATAACTCAATTAAAGAAATAATAACTAATGGGAACACTGTTGTATTGATATAAATGCAATAAAGAAGGCCATATTAATGTAACTTTCCAAAGTAGTTGAAGACCCTGAGCGTAAACACAAAGAATCAAAAGAGAGAAAGAGGTAAAAAGGCGCTGAAAAGAGCTTTTCCCATTGGATTGATTGGAGATGGGTTCTCAATGGAGAAAACGTTTCTGCAAAGATATCTTAGTCGAAAAACGATACTGAAAAAAAAAGATACTGAAATTGTCAAAAATGCATTTGGTAAACTGAGAAATAATCTGATCAATGCTTCAATATTTAGGAGAGAAAAATGACTTTACATCACTTTCCTTACGGTTCCATTAATGCATCTGAAGTCCATTTATGTTTGACCTGGTTCGAATCCACTGTGTGACACGGATGAGACTGTATTAACTGAGGTATCGAGTTGCAGTAAGTGCTAATTGGCATTAAAAAGATTCCTCACTGCTCAAAGGCCGTAAGTGCCCAGTGCAGGTCTAAATTTTCAGCCCTCCAGCGGCAAGTGGTGGCGCTTAATATGAGTGAAAAATTCTCGAAGGGACGTTCAACAAACAAACAAAAAATACAAATCTTTAATTGACAAGAAAGAAAGTTTTAGCTTATTGGAGTCGGAATCTAAAAACGTTCTTGTACAGGAACTTTGCTAGTAGAAAAAAATATTTGTGGTTTTTCGTTGTCAAGTACTATAGGCATAACCTTCATGGTAAAGAGCTTATAGTCCTCTTAGACCATAGCTATTTGACACGGCATTTTAAACTAAAAAAAGACAGTTGGTATTGGAATTGGAAATTATTTGTATATACGACTTGTAAATACATCGACCAGCCAGTGTTAGAATGCACACACACTGCGTTGTCTTCCATGTAGCCAATGAGGATTTAAACAAGATTTGAAAAAAAGGATTTGGAGGGTAAGAAGCAAGAACCAAGTCAGTTACTCATGATCATATGAGCTTAATGACGATCAAAGTTTGTCAATGAAGTTATACAAAACAAGGACAACGGTTTATGTCCTGTCCAACATTGGTTTTCAGAAAAGAAAGACATCCATACAGGGCGGTGAGTGGCCAAAGATATGTGTTATGATCCTTATGGTCACAGTGGAATGGTCCGTCCATTGAGAATGTCATTTTGAACAAGCAGTTTGTAGGTGTAGGGAATATAGAGTGTGCGAGAAATCATTCTGTTGACGAAGTATTTGATAATTGGTTGTTTATCGTCTACTATTTGTAGTATGACGAATAAGGAAAACAATTGTTGGTGATACTCATCGGGGATACCTGACGCACGAAATATACGTTTGACATAACTAATACAGTCATATGGTTTGAAGGGAGGTGGTATATCGCAAAGATGGCGAAAACTCCACTTGATAGCTGAAGAATAGCAGGATAGAAAAATTATTGTATTAATAGTGGACGTATATGATTAAAAGTGAATACATTCCTCTTATTTGCTACATAATTAATTCAATAACAACCTGGTTCAGTCACTTTTTGCGTGTCACCAAGTCGATTGCTCTCTCTACTTATGCATTTTCCTATAGAATATCGCTTACATTGATCAGTAGTATAATGGATTGATTAGAGGGATTGTATGTCAGCTGCTGATAGGTTGGATTGGTAGTTCCGGGGTAGAGTACCGTCTCCAGCCCCGGATCATTTTCCAGTTCCATGAAACTCCACGAGTAGACCCTGACTGTTCCGTTAATGTACTCTATGTTACCAGCACTTCCCCATCCTACTCCATTAAATATTTTTCCTGTAAAGAAATTGATTCAAATTTACACAAACTTTTACGGAAAAGTATTTATTTGATAGTGGAATCGATAACTATACCTTCCAGGTGTCCCTCAGTAAGTTGTTGAAATTACAAAGGTATTGTTATAAAAACAAATAGTAAAGAGATATTTAAAAAATGTTAAGGATGCTGCTCTGCAGCTAAAAATGAATACAAAGTAGAAGAAATTAATGTTATTTTATTCACGTATAAAAAATAATTTGGAATTTAACTAACCGTGTCTAGGTGTTCTTATGTATACATTCTGTACATCATACACATATTGTACCCCTCCAACGTTTGATCCGCCCGTGAAGGAAACGGTACCTTAATGTATATTTAGAATATAAAAAGATAAATCAAAAACAGAATCACTTCTGCATGATAACCATGCATATTAAAAAAAATAAGACAAGAAGGAAAAGTTTATCAACATGCTTTTGTGAAACATTGTAAGCACAAGTTTGTATTCTAACAATGGCAGTAAGACATTCGTAATGACAATGAAAATGCAACGGGGTGTTATTTAATTTTTGTAGTAATATTTTCATGGAATCAGACAAAAGATATTTATTATTGAAGAGCAATTATCTGACAGATAAAGATAATTTTATTTTCAGCAACATCTGGGAAATTGTTCATTAGAAATATTACGCAGAATAATGCGTCTTTGTGCAAAAATATACTCTTTATGTACACGTTTGGCATGTCAAAAAGAAAGTCAGAGGCTGATTTTAATACATTTTAAACCGTTGTAAGTGTAGAATTATCCGCTCTGTGTAATGTTTCAATCATCAATATAATATTTTATAAGGTTGCATTAATTAGGCTGTTTTACAGCTTATGGTAATGCTAAAGAAGAGATTTTGGAAATCGTAAAGTAGACCATGTGTACCTTGTGCGTCCATTATCCACCCATCATCAAAGAACACTTTGGCAAGGATTAGATCTGGAGATACACCAACCGATATCTTATAATAGTTCTCTGTTTCAAAATAGAAATAATTTAAAAATGCTACATAGCAACCATTCTTTCAAGAATGAATATGTGAATAAATTAGCTATTCAAAACCTTCACCAAGGTCCAAGTTTCGAGTTTTTAAAATTCTTAGCATGATCCTGACATTGCCTTCTTTATTGGAAGATACATGTATAATATACAGTTTTTTTTACATAGTCTCTCTGCAATCTTTTAATTAATCTTTTTAATAATATAAGTACCTGTATCTTTGTTACTGATTGGATAAGCAGCAGAAATAGTCGATGGTTTGGCGAATGTACATGTTTTCCAAGCGCGTACTTTTACTTCACCGGAAAGGATCACTCCACTTGATGTTGATGGTCCAGCAAAGCCGTTATCACCTAAAAAAAAGGACCATAATCATTTTATTCTCACTTAATTTGCATGCACACACAGACACGTACGCACTTAATGAGACGGAGAGAGAGCTTACCAAAGTATGCCACACCTCCAGGACAAGGTGATGTACAGGTACTTGGTCCTGGGGCCATTATTTTAACAGAGTTTGAATCATAAAGGTATATTATTCCCCCGAATGGATTTGAAGGATCCGGGCCGGTTTGTCCAGACCCAGTGGCAAGAAATGTAATGTATCCGTGAACAGGATGGTTAACTCGCACCTGCACATCAATTTTCATTGGCATCTCTCCCAGATTATGATGAATAAGTACCTCTGGGTTTGAATATGCCGTAATGGAATGCCATGAACTGATGAAATCTGCTGGACTTAAACCATACGTTGTCACAGCTTTACATAGATAAAACAAGATTTTTATTAAACACAAGTATGAAAATTCCTAATATACATGTGGCTACTCATAATTATTCAATTTTATTCGCAGGAAAATGAAAGCTGTTTTCTTAAGAAAAGAATTTTTTTCTATATCGTACGTTTAAGCTTTGCAATCAAGACTTCATGACTTCGTACCTTCCCAAGGGTAAAATTCGTGTAATACTAAATCAAACTTTTGTGGAAATCATGACCTTTCTTTTTAACATATACTTTATCTCGGTTATAAAACGGTTAATTATTTAAACAATGACCAATAAAGGTCATATTAATTATGTCATAAAAACAAACTAACACTTTAAATACAAATCTTATTATGCCTTGTGCTACTATATCGAATTTTAACACAGAATTTGTCTTACTAACAAGAGGCAGGAAATTATTATATCATTGATACAAATACCCATAGTTTTTGAAATCTAGAGTTTGACCTATAGGTTTAAAATGCTACGTGATTTTGTATCCATTGATAAAAAGGGTTTAATCGTTAAAATTAAGCAAAAACGTTAAAATCAAAATTACGTTTAGTCTTGAGTTTAAAACAAGTGAATACATGCTGTTATGAAACAAACAATTGTAAATCAAAAACTCTTTTTTCTAAGTTGAGTTTAAAGATTAACATGGATGCTTGTATTTTTCCAAAGACATATAAGTGTTTTATTTAGCATTGTTTTTTTTTGTTAAACCCTTATAAATATCTTTCTATATATTTATTACTAATAAAAAGTCCATCAAAAGAAATGTTTATTGCATCGGTTTATCAATTTTATTGACCGGCCTGTCAGTCTAACATAAGAATTGTTAGATCGAAACGTCACTGCTACGTCACAAGTAATTAATCGTCGTTCGATATCGGCGACACGGAATTAGCCGAAGCTTAGAGCTGTAAGAGATGTCGCTTGCTAAATGAGAGAGTATGTTTTGTGGTAAATAATTTTTGTGATATAATTATTTTATTTTTGATTTTTTCATTCTCTCCTATTGATTTTTTTATTGATCAAGCCAAAATTTTCCAAAGAAAGTAATTGTTTATATATTGATTAAATCCAAATATTTTCATTTTAATTATTCTATCTGAGGTGACTTGTATAACAAAACAGTTATACACTGGGATTTGGACAACATATGATTTGTTGGAAGTCAAGGTGAAAATGTTGCCCTTAGCCTGCGCCCTCGGGTAATATTTTCACCATCAGGTCCAACAAATCATATGTTGCCCTCATACCCAGTCAATAACTGTATAATAAGGAAATACTACATGTACAGTAAATTGAATTTTTGGCGGAATAAAAAAATCTGAAAAATAATCAACAATTCTGAATTTGTTGAAAAGTGAAAAATATATATTTCTCATTTTCATGACTGAATGATAACCATGAGCTTAAAAAAAGATTTCATATAAAGATGAGCATTTTGTTAAGGTAAAGATGTTAACAAGTTTTCGGAGTCAGGTATTCAAGAGCTCTCATAATCAAAATGATACAAATTCTAATACTGTAATAGTTTTTAATTCTAGTTGATTTGTATACAATCCTTTTGTGTGAAAATCATAAAATCCATAATGATCCAATGGCAATTTTGAGAACTTTTAAATATTTTTATGTAAATGTGGCAAATGAAATATAGAAAGATGTATATTTCAATGAAAGTAATCACTGTAATTTAAATGCTATCAAGGAAAGTGTTGCTCTTACTCTAAACTATTAAAGTATCTAAGCTATTGATAATGGATTAATCTATGGTGAGAAAAAAATCTGTTAAGTCTCTTAAAATTGAATACCTTTTTTGATCAAAACATTATCGATCCTTATTTACCATTCCGTACAAAAATATTCTGAACAATCTCAATTCATCCTTCTTTAAAATAAAGATTATTTCCTGTTAAAACCGTATTATAGATCAACTTTTTCAAAGGATTTGAAAATACATTGAGTGTACAAAGTTCTGATAATTTTGATGATATTTTTTGATAATACTCTGAACATTTTGGAAAGGTCATGGATGCTAATCCACATTACTAAGACTTAATTAAAATCAAAATGTACACGGATGTGGCATCTATTTTGATGGACATCCCTAAAGTTTTTGACTCCTGCCACATGATATATTTTAATTTAACGGATGCAGCAGCTATTTTGATGGACCTCTTTTTGACTCCTGCCACATGATATACTTTTAAGTAAAGTCAGAGCCAATTGTCTTACTCTGTCTGTATTTTAGCAAGTTACTTGTCTGTACGTCTTCAGCAAATGACATTTTTAAAAAACGAGTGTGCCATAAACTCTCCACTGGGACCATTACTTGTCAATGTTTTACATAACACAAACAAAACTCTGATGCCTGAATTGATATACATTTTTTGACTGATTTTGAATAGAAATTACATAAATAATAAATCCCTAAAATATAAAGAAATCGTAAGTTTTCTTTGGTGCTAAAATATGCGACTTTGTTTTGGTTTCTATATAATTCTATACAAAATTTTGCACATAATTTTAACATTGTGACAAAATCTTAAAAAATTCTCCCACTTTACACGGCAAACATTATTCAGGTTACCTATTTGCATATAAATCTATGAAAAATATTGCTGATTTCTGAAAACAGTTTGTTTGTGTTATTTATCCTTAAGTTTATTTTTTTTAATTTTATGAATGACGTTTTATAAAGTTATGCTGAAGATGATACTTTGGATTACTGACAAGATACACTAGATGTGATAAATACTTTGCAAGATGAAATTTCAGAATTGTCAATATTCAAGAAAATCCATCCAAATTTTAGACAATTACCCTGAATAAGAAAATATTTGGCGAGATATCAGCTTTATAAAAGAATTGATGACGTTTTATGGATCTGTAACTGTTTGGGTTGGATATTCATGAAATGCATAAATTTGATGATCATTGAAGATTTATTTATTATTTATTAATTAATAAATTATTTTATTATTCATTTATCAATAAATATAAACAGTATTTTAAAAGAGCACTTAAAATATATAAGTATCATGTTCATTCCATTTGAAATCCGAAGAGTGTTTATTCCTAACCTTTTCATGCATAATTTGAATCACATGGAATTTTTCTGTATGGCAAATATTTTATAATGACACGTGCTTTATTTTTCTAGGATGAAATAACCTTACTCTGGTTTATAAAATAAAATATATGTTATAACGCGTATAAAATTAAGATAACTGTTACAAAAGTAATTTAGAATAATTCTTTCATTCATAATTAATTCATTTAAATATAGTTCAGTTTCTTTTACGAATTATTGCTTTTAACACAGAATTTTTTTTTCAATATTTTTCTACGTCTTGATTCATAATAAGCTGCATATATGAAATGGTTATAATATCTTTGCTTTCCATACTTAAGGAAACTACACTCACATAAAAGAATTGTATCGATGTTGTCGAATACACTATATACATTGCTCTTTTTATTGCATATTTTTCACTAGTTCTAATTCTTTATTTCTTTTGTCTGGGTATGAATTCACAGAATGCTTATTTACTTCTGGAATTGAAAAAAAAATGCATTCATAAAATATAGGGTTTAAATTAAGTGCATTTTTTCTCTGAGGCAGATATTTCGTTTTCGTCGAACAAAAATAAAAAAAAACAAAAAAAAAAACAAAAAAAAAAACGAAAACATTTTATAGTGAATACAAAGTTCAGCTACAGTTTTATTACATAAAGTCTAGCATTGAAATTAAAAAAAATGTATGCGATGATGTTTAAAACTACATTTTAATCAATTATAAAATTTAATTCTCAGTCTTGCAAAATAAAAAATGGTTAAGGTAAAATTGTTTTTTTTTTTAATTTGATAAAATGCACAGTTTTAATTTATTTATATAACAACCCGATAAATAAATGCATTATCGCTTTAACTTTTCCTAAAAATAAAATTAACAACTTAATCATCATAACTACTTACCAATCATAACAATAAATACGACAGGGAAAAGAAAGCCTGTCATCTCCACACACCGAGACCATCTGATTCTGTTGCTTTAAACACAGTGTAGTCGATTATATTGGAAGGGGATGCACGCGACACTCTAATTAATGCTAAACATACATATTCATGGCTATATGGAAGGAAGTGTTAAAATTAATTAATTAACCAGGATAAGGACCTCTCTGGTATCAATAACTATTGAACAATTACCTTGATGTAAAATTGTATATCTAGGCCACATTAGAACATTTTTATTGCGTCATACATTGTTTACCCATTCCAATTAACCCCATACTGGATTTTTTTTAAAAATCCTATAAGTTGCCTGTATTTATCTATTAACATTCTACTTATTGGAAAGCTACAATTGGAATAAAAACAAAGGGACAAAGCAAATCGTGAAAAAAGAGAAGATATATGGAGATAACGAACCGTATTCAAGCTCATAAGTCCATTTTTTTTTCGATTTACACGAATACCTGAAATTACTTTTAGATTGATTAATTGTATGTTGTTTTACGTCCCATTCGAGAATTTTTCACTCATATAGAGACGTCACTATATACCGGTGAATAGCTTCAAATTTTGACCTTTACTCGGCACTCAGGGCCATTGAGCAGTGAGGGATCTTTATCGTGCCAACGCCTGCCGTGACACGGGGCCTAGGTTTTTAAGGTCTCATCCGAAGGCCGGCAACTTTCACTTCAAAGTGCCGAGCGCATGGCGAAGGAACAGTTGCTACCCATTTTTTATCGATTTAGGTCAGTCATTAAGGGTCCTAAAAAGAGGGAGCCCCGATCTCTCACTTGGCGACAGAACTTCATTTCTACTTTGATTGATTGATTGTGTATTATTTTACGTCTCATTCGAGAATTTTTCACCCATATAGAGACATTACCATATACTGGTGAAGAGCTTCAAATTTAGACCTATACTCGGCACTCAGGGCCAATGAGAAGTGAGGTTCTTTATCGTGCCAACGTCTTCCAAGACACGGGGCCTCGGTTTTTAAGGTCTCATCCAAAAAACCCGTGACCTTCACTTCTAATGCCGGGCGCTTGGCGAAGGAACAGTCACTACCTATGTTAACATCTTAGGTCTTGACGCGGCGAACGAAAATAGAACCTGGGCCTCCCGGTCACGAAGAGAACGCCCTACCATTATTTTAACTCCTACCAGCTTTTTATTTTCCTGTTTAAATTGGATGCCAATCAAAGATTATTTTATGTTTAGACAAGTCATTTTTCTATTTAAGGTTTTAAGCAACCAAATGCCAGATTATCTTAATGTGTTTCAATATACAAGAGATGTCAGTTGTCGCCAAACCAGGTCGAATGATTATATTCTATTATATTTACCAAGAGTCAAAACAGAAAATTACAGACGTTCATATAGCTATTCATCTGCATTTCTTTGGAACAAACTATCACAAAATGTTCGGAACTCTAGTTCAGTGGGTATTTTCAAATCTGTGTATCTCACTGAGTACTTTAACAGAGTCAATACTTGACTGAGATTTCCTTTCCAATTCATTGAGTGTGCCAATTTATGAGTGTATTGTTACAAATATGATTCTACATGTATATATCTGTCATGTGATTGTACTTTTATATCATGCTTATTTGTTCAGATGCTAATTTTATATGCCCATATATGATTGCAAATATATGTGTTGATGCAGGACCACAGTGAAAACTAGCTTTATGCTAATTGTGTAATACTGGATAAATAAAGGTTATTATTAATATTATTATTATTACCACTAGGCTACCGTGACCGGTCAATTCTGTCGATTTTTGCTAAACGTTGGACTAAATATGAAAAAAAAATCCGAAGACTCTTTCAGAATGGATTAAATTTTAAAAATATATTAAAGACTCGAATACGAAAATTAAAAGGCAAAATGCAAACCCTTTTCCCTTTTACCTAAATTGGAGGTGATAAAAGAATTAGAGAGACGACATGAACAATATGTAATGGCAGACCAAGCTGGTAACAATATCAACTTTGTTTGTAAGGCTCATTATTAAAATTGTACTTTCGTTGGAAGAACTTGGTTTTAATTCTACGTCTGGAAATCCTACATATACTCGCAGTTCACTTTCCAAGGATGAAATTCTTCAAAATCACATTTCAGTATTTCAAACTTTAACATTCCAGTCAACCAAGGTGAGTTCGATCTACCCTACCTATACTGGATTCCTAAACTTCACAAAAATCCTTACAAACAAAGATATAGGCCGGGTAGAGCAAATGTTCTACCAAGCTCCTATCTTTACTCCTTACGAATATATTAACTGCTGTTAAGGAGAAACTTCAGACGTATTGTGCTCCCGCATACTCTAGAAGTGGTGTTAATTTGATGTGGATCCTCAAAAACTCTAAAGAACTTTTAGAAAATCTGAAATTACAAAATTTTTTCAAAAAAGTACAGCATCAAAATGTACGACTTTTCTACACTTTATACAACCATTTCTCACGATAAATTAAAAAATATTTTCTTTTTATTTCATAGACAACTGATTCTTTAACAAAAACGAAACACGGAAATTTTCACATCTTGTGATTGGTCATCAGCAAAATTTCTTTGTTAAGAATCCCTCTGATTCTACACACAACACACAAGTATTCTGAGGTTGATATTAAAAAGATTGTAGAGTTCTTCTGTAGTCTTCGGAAACCAAGTCTTCCAACAAACTGTTGGAATTTCCAGTGGGAACTAATTGTGCTCATGTATTAGCCGACCTGTTTTTATATTCGTATGAAGCAGAATTTATTCAAAAACGTCTACATGAGAAGAAAAAAAACACTTGCTGTGGCCTTCAACTCGACATTCAGATATTTCAACGACGTTTTATGAATTAACAATAGTTATTTCCATTTATATGTCGATTTATCCCAGTGAACAGTGAACTTGAAATAAAAGACACCACAGAGTCTGCCACATCTGCTTCGTAATAAGATGTTTTACAGGCCATAGACGACAAAGGCCAACTAACAACTAAATTGTATGACAAACGAGACGACTTCAGCTTTTCCATCGTCAACTTTCTTTATTTATATTATGTAGTAATATTCCGCTATCACCTCTATATGGTGTTTATGTCTCCCAAGTTATTCGATACTCATGAGCATGCTCTGAGTACATCAGTTTTTTAAAACGAGGCAGGCTACTCACACAAGTTGATGTTAAAGGGATTTCAACAACCTCGTTTAAATTCAGTATTCCGTAAATTCTATGGTTGTTATGATAACCTTATGAGCAAATATAACCTATCACTGGGTCGTATTTTAGCTGACTTGTTTCGTACGAATTGTTAGACCTCTGTTTTTATACTATATTTAATTACGGAATGTTCCGCCTACTTGATCAATACATAGGGCTCACGGCGGGTGTGACCAGTCAACAAGGGATACTTACCCCTCCTATGCACCTGATCCCACCTCTGGAATTTCCAGGGTTCATTTTCCATGCCCTCTTCACAGAACTGTATTGTGTTATCTTCGGTCACCATTATCTAAGTTTTTAATTTGAAAAATTTAATCATTTCCCTCTATGCTTAAATATCCTTTATCTATCCAGTAGAAGTCAGAATGGGTCACAAAAATGGGAGATTTATAGACGGGGAAGCATAATGACAAACCAACAATATACATGCAAGTAAAAGTACGTCTACAGTATGGCTGAAATATTGCCGACTCGGCGTTAAACAATAAACAATCAATCAATTTATTTTGCATTGTCTTTATATACAGGTCTTCAGTGCTGATAACCCTTAGCAAGAAGATACGCAGTATCCTTTCGAAGATAAAGGACTTTTTCTTTTGCCTTCGTTCATTGATTTTCCTTAAATGTATTTTCTGAAATCCCATCCTCCTTTTCCTTTTTGTCTCTGACAAATAATTGTCTGTCTGTATCTAGAAGAACTTAATAAACCATTGACTACTTGTACTTCATATCAATTTTCATAAGAGAAGGCACGTGATCCCACCTCTGGAATTTCCAGGGTCCGTGTTTTTGCCCTGTTCATAGATTTGTATTGTTTGAAGTTTTTATGAGATCGATCACTGTTCGTTATCTTCACCCCTTTTCATTCTTAAGCAAGTTGCTCTCCTTCAGAAAGGAATACAATACGTGGACCATGGGCCTGTGTTTCTATTTGAAATCTAAACGAAATTCTAGGTTGTAATGAAAAGAAGTGTTATAAAAAAAGATGTCTTTATCTTGAGACATGTAATTTTTTCTTCATAATTTAACATTATAATTTAATCACTAAAACTGTAATAATGAATGGAGGAAGCACGTGCTGGGAATCAATGCTTGATCGAGGCATCTATTGTTTAATGTATGAAGCCTCGATCTTTAAACAATACATTAAAAATCTAAGCTCATTTACGGTTGTATTCCCTCAACAAACGTCACATAAAGTTTTTTACTTGTGAAGAATATGCCAGATAAAGCATCCGGTTTAACCATGCTTATATATTTTCTGTGTGGACAACAGGGTCCATGCAATTAGCATGCATGTCTTTCGGTTCATTATAAAGGCTCTTGTCAAGTATCAACGATCGGGGCAGAGGCAGGAGTAAACTTGTATTAATTTCAATGTATTAAATATACATAAATTCGAATTCACTAAGAGTTTTCATGAAAAAATGATCATAGAAAAATCAGATGGTTGCAGGAGTTTGGCAGAAAAAAAATCAATCTTAATTTTTCTTCAAATGAATTAATAAATAAATTAAGAAAATAAAATACGAATGAGTGCTTAGATACCCTAAAACTTAAATAGGCCAAATAGATAAACCAGTGTGTAGAGTCTCAGATAATAGTCTTATGTATATTACACTGGCTATTTATTTTTTTTTAATATATTAATTACATCTTTCAGTTGATTATCAAGGCCCCACTTAAGTATCGTATCAAAGACCTTCTTCTCATATAGAAGTTTTTGAATGAATTCTGTTTTATATGAATACCAAAACAGGTCTGCTAATCAATTACATTATTTACAGTGATCAATTATCATCTATGTTAAAACACGCCCTTAAATTAGAATGTCCAATGGGCCATGTATCAAAATTTTGGAAGAGGCACCTTAGGTCTGATTTTAACAGGTTTTTTTTCAATGTTCTCTTTAAAATAAATTACAAAGCATAAAATTGTACCATAATAATAAAAATTATTACAATAATAATAAAAATTATCAGTAACTGTTATTTCCTAAAAATCACACTTTTCCCCCCAATAAAATAGTTCATTTCGGATTCAAGTTTGTCGCTCTTTATTTATCAATCTGATTTTAAAAGAAATTGTCGTCAATTATCGAGCTTTAGGACATTTTTTATTGAGTCAAAAAAAATATTTAATTTATTTTTATATCAAAAAGAATGTAGGATTTTTTGTGCAAGGAGATAAGATTTTACACCGTCTATTTGACAGAAATATACCTGGCATAGACCTGTTTCAACCAAACTTAAATGCCCTCAGAACATGTGTTTTGTTATTCCAGTATCATTGTAAATACTTTTATAACGATATTAGAAAACAAACTCGTGTTCTATGGTTATAAGAATAAAAGAAAATCAATTCATGAAGATTTCTAGCATCTGGAACCATTGAATGTTCCAGAGAACAACAGATTCTAGATAAATTTGTATGAAATCCAGCAGGATAACAATGGTGCCTACAAATAGATAACAAACAACAAGAAAGAAAGTACAACAGGAACGGTGAATACCAGAGAGTTGGTTCTAATTAAACCACTATTTAAATTTACAAATATATGCAAAAAATAAAAGTTACGACAAAAATGGTGTTTACACAAACTTTCAGGCCACAATTCTAATGGTCAAATATTGCAATATAATTGAATCTTAATAAACAATTATCTAAACTAGGAACAGTAAGTCAAGGAATATAACAATAGACGTACTATCGGATTTTTGTTGTTTATCCAGGATACTCTAAGGGCGTCAGAGGAATGTTTAGATAGAAAGGAAAAGGTCCCACAAAAATCGATAACCTCAACCTTTTTAATAACCTCATTTCAAGAGTTCTTGGTTGAAATTTCTGGCATGATTTATATTATTTTTGAAAAGAATTTATTCGAACTTTAATTCATATTTTCATGCATCTGTGACACATAAACATAAATTCCCATTAACACTCGCTTGCTTTTTTAGGTCACCTGAGTCACTCAGGTGACCTATTGCTATCTGTTTTCGGCCATCGTCGTGTGTTGTGCGTGAACATTTTAACATTTTCAGCTTCTTCTCTGGAACCAGAGAACCAATTTCAGCTAATTTTGGCAAATAGCAACTATGGATAAAGGGGAACAAAATTTGTGAATTTCATAGAACCTGCCCCCCTGGGGCTTGCGGATGAGACTAAAACTCCAAAATGAATGCAATCTTTACGCTTCTTCTTTACTTCTTGACATCAAGCAGTCACACTGTTAAGATGGTTGTAATAACATTGAGCCCTCTACCAAAATCATGAAATGCATAACCCCAGGGTAAGGTGTTCTGGTGTTAGGATGGTGCTCTATTGATCATATAGTGAAAATGCCTAGATTCTTCAAAAAATCTTCTTCTTCAACCCTGTATATTTAGAGGACAAAGTATATGCATGGTTTACGTGAACAAGGATGGGTCTTTTAAAAATTGTGAATTTCAAGGCCCTAGGGTCAGGGTTCTTGTGTTAGGGCAGGGCTATATTGATTAATCTTGAAAATGCATTTTTTCTTTCAAAATCTTTTCTGCTCCTGGGTATTAAGCAGATAAAATACGTGCATGGCTATGATGAACGAGACAAGGGTGCATCTTTCAAAATTTTGAATTCAGGGCCCCTGAATCAGGTGTTTTAGCGTTGGGGTGGGGCTCTATTGCTCAAATAGTGAAATGCATATTAAATTCTTTTTTAAATTCTTCTCTGTCCCCTGGTATTTAGCAGACAAACTAATTGCATGTTAATGCAAAGATGCCTCTTCCAATATTGTGAATTATGTCCTTCCCTTCAGGATCAAGGGTTTTAGTGTTAGAGCGGGGCTCTTTAAGTCATAAAGTGAAATGAATATTAATTTTAAAAAAAATATATCTGGTCCTGGGCATTAAGTAGACAAATTAATTTCATGGTTATGATGAACAAGGATATCTCTTCCAAAATTGTGAAATTCATGGTCCTGGGTCGGGGGGTTTGGTGTTAGGGTGGGACTCTATTGATTATAAAGTGAAAATGCATTAATTTCTTTGAAAAATCTCTTTCTCTCCCCCTGCAGGGTATTTAGCATACAAACTAATTAATTGCATGGTTATGATAAGCAAGGAAGCATCTTTCAGAATTGTGAAATTCAAGGCCCCAGGGTCAGGGGTTTTGGTGTTATGACTAGGTTCTATTGATTATATAGAGAAAATGCATTAATTCTTTGATAATCCTTTTCTCTGCTCCATGGTTCTTAACAAATAAACTTTACCATACTTAATGATGTATAAATTGAAGTTTGCATACTTTTCCCAAGGGATGTTTATGTAGAATGTAAATAATTTTCATTTTTTAAAAGATAGCATGAAATTTTTATTAAATTAAAAATTTAAACATCTGTCTGAAATAAACATGCATAAAAAATTGTCTTGTGTAGCCTTTACTGAGTTATCTTTCTTTTTACTGTAGGTATCATTTAATTGTTTTGATTATGTCGTCAGATCAATCCCAAAATTCCTATAAACAATACAAATAAGTTAGATTCTATCGGTCACGATAATGGCCAATGTTCCCTGGTTCCAGGGCCCAACAGCAGGGAGTTTATGATGAAGACAGTCGATATCAATTTCAACCCCTCTACCAGAATTTAGTCCCCTTTGTTCAGGGTCTATGGATGAAACAATGTTAGACACGTATGTTTGTTTGTTTATTGTTTAAGGTCCCTCTCGAGAATTTTTCACTCATATGGAGACGCCATCACTTGCCGGTGGAGAGCTACAAATTTTGACCTATACTCGGCACTCAGGGCCATTGAGCATGAGGGATCTTTTTTGTGCCAGCACCTACTGCGACACGGGACCTCGGTTTATATGGTCTCATCCGAAGGACCGGTCTCCACGTGCCACAGTGGGATTCGAACCCGCGACGTAAGGATCAATTCCTTACTCCGCGACTCTAGAGCGAACTCTCTAACCACTGCGCCACGCAGGCGACTGGACACATATGAAAACAAAAACATAAATCGTTAGCAAACAAGTTGTATGCTGTCCTGCTTTCAACCGATAATACTGAGTTCAATAGTCTTTGCAATTGGGTAATTGGGTAAGGTGTTTTAAAAAGACGTGTAATAACCCCAAATCATTTTTCTTAAGCAAGGAAATGTGACTGATACCAAGGAATTGGAAAACTATTCGTATAAATGTTAGCAGAATTGGTTATTTTTGCAGAATAAGCTGAAAATAAATTCAATACTCTTTGAACTGATGTTGTAGAGATTTCCCTAACAGCCAGTTTTTCCCCTCTGTACTCTGT